GGACCCGGGCACGGCACGGACAGGGCACGCCATCGGGATGGCACACGGACAGGGCACGCCACACGGGCTTGGCAATCGGACAGGGCACGGTCATAGAGCTAGACCCTATAGCGGGTTAGATAAGATAGTTAAGATAAGATAGATAGTGTAGTAAAGGTAAGTTAGGTTAAGTAGTTAAGCTTACTAACGTTCGACGAATGACAGTGACAGGCGCTGACAGACACAACACATGAGGGGACAAGGATTGCTGCTGCGCTTTTTTTCCCCCTTTTTTTTTAATATTGTAAACTTTGTATTAAATACCGTACATCAGAAGTATATTGTTTTTAAATTCTAAACAATGTAAGAATTTTCTTCGTTTTAAATGAGTAAAGGTTAAAATCTGAACTCGTGGTAAGAACCAAAAGGGCCGTCGACTGTATTGAAATAGGCAACTGGTTTCAATAGGCCTACTCATGCGTGATGGTAAGAGATGACAGTAGGCCTAATCAACGACATCGCATTCTTTTCTCTCCCGAGGTAATTTATTAGGCCTAGTGCATCACCGGTCTGTATAGATAGGCATTTATGTTTAACAGAATACTGTACCATGAATCAACTTACATTGATCCGATTAGTCAATGAAAGGAAATAAGGAACTGCACGTTAACTCCCCTTGATAAATATATATTCAACAAGCGCGCCCCCATGAGGTTGTTCCTGTTTATTAATTAGTTTCCATAGTGTTTAATGGTGAAGGGGGTGATGATGATGATTATAGCACAGACCTTTATGATTATAGTAACAATATTGTTATATTAATAATAAATTACTACTACTTTATTAGTAGGCCTATTAGTGGTGGTGATGGTAATAAACAAAATGAAAAGATTGAGGGCTCAATCTTGTTTTGACTGACAGAGGTCACGTCACATTCTCTCTCCAAGTAAACTTTAATATTTTTCCCACCCACCCATTCCCATTTGATAATGGCCTTAATCCCATTGTGATTTCTGAATTAATACCGTAACTTCTTGTTCGCTTTTAATTTTACGTGTGTTCGTTGTGCAGTTGATTTCACTTTACTCAATAAACATTATTTATCACCAGAACCTTAATTTCAGTCTCTTTGTGAATTTATTTGATGCCTCTGTAACAGTCAAAATACATGTTGTATAGTAAAGTCTCGGAAATAGACTCATTCAATCTTGGATTTATTTTACTTGCAATAATTTAATGTTTCTCATGTTATCATCAAACTGGCTAAAGGTTCAAAATGTTGCATTAAGTAAAAGGCTCGTGGAGCTAGACAGAAATCACCAGGTGAATTAGAAAGAAGCATCCGGAGGAAAACTCGTCGTCCTGTTATATACATGTCAGTTTCCATTCCATTTTCTTTGTTTTTGCAGTACGAAGAAAATCATACTATAACTACAATATTAAAACTTATGACTTATAACAGCTTGTTCATTAAACAGTTTTACAAATAATACGATACATAAAAGATATGGTATTATTTATAATAAATGTAAATTTACTGAATATGCGCAAAAAAAAATAAAAAATATTCACCTGTGCAGTAGAAATTATCGCGTTTCTTGCAATTTCTTGACATAAAGGGCAATATAATGTGAGTCATGCAACATTCAGAGTGCTTGTCTACATCAGATAACACATTATACGAAATGTATCAAGAATACGGTATGTACCCTACCTCCAAGGTCACCATGCCTAATATTACTTCCAAGAAGTCAAACAAAGTTCTGTATCTGTCTCAAAAATAAAATATTTATTGTACTAGTACTTTCGACCATAGGTCATCATCAGGTACTCAGGTATATATATATATATAAGCCTATATGCATGTATTAAAATGTATTTAAAAATATCTATTTACACGGCCTCCCGCACTACCACAAGCAAGCAAAAATTTCCCGGAAATTAACCCATATCCCACACATTCATAATATGAGCAGGTTTTCACTGTTTTATTATCAATTGTCTCAAGGAAGTCATTGCCAATGTGTTTAACAATGTGGAGCAAAATAAAAGTAAATGTTTACGACAGCTCATTAACCAAATCAGTGGCGGATTCAAGGGAGAAGCCCACTTCCACCCCTCCTCACCTAATTTTTCAAAATTAAGAAAATGGAGAGAAATTAATCATAATCCAATTTAAGTCTGAGAGTGCCATTTCCGGCCATCTAGAGGTGCCATAATAATATTTTTTCCTACCTCAGCACCAACCATGGTAGGGCTGAGGTGGTGGTCCAGGGGCGAGGCCCTTAAAGGCTTCTTTAATAATTGATTTTAATACAGTACCCCTCCCCTCCCCCTGCTTCCAATTTGGGACCCCTGTATTTATGGGGACAATAAAATTTATAAAATAAGCCTGAAATGTATGAATCTCTAAAATTGATTGTTTTTCAGTGAGGTATTTTTGTTACTCAGTACGCTGCGAGCAGACCTCAAGGAGGCAACGATGGGAACTCTCAGAACGAGCAAGAAACTAGGGGAGCTAAGGATGCTCGCGAGTGACAAGAGAAAATTGCCTCACTCAAATGAAGAAGGACTGATGGCAGCTGTAGGAAGTTTCTACTACTACAGAAGCAATATCCAGTAAATAATAATAAATAATATTTTTTGCCTAGTAAGCCCATGGAGGTTCACAATTTTAATTGTATACCGCCATGACAGGCCCAGTTTAACGATTCAGCTTATTTACCTATCAATTACCACGTAAAAAAATTATTTTATTTTATTTTATATTACAGTATATTATAAATATTGGTTATGGATTTTGTAATGCTATTTTTTTTTTTACTAGAAAGATGGAATTTTTTATTATGCATTATACTATAATATGTTGAAAGCAATAAAGAAAAAAAAACTGGAAAAAAATCAGTTACCACGTATGGGCCTCGCAATGTGCTTTTGATAAAAAATTATCCATGAATCCTTTACGGATCTGTGATAAACTAAATTATCGGTTGACCATGGCCTGACCTGTCATTGAAAAACTCAATTTTATAGATAGATACCGTGAGTACTTGATAAAATGAAAAGGTGGGGCTTTTAAAGAATTAGTCATCAAACATGGAATCACCAAGGATGTGTATGTATAGCCTATGTTTCTTTGAAGGCCGGAATCAGGAATGTAAACTAGGCCTACGCACTTTGTACAGTAGCGAATCTAGGAATTCGAAATGGAGTGGGCCTAGGGAGAAACTTTCATAGATGCAGAGCTTATAGCGCCTGGGCCCCACCATGGATGGGGCTGAGGTGGAAAAGTTATGATTATGAGGCCCTTATATGGCCGGAAATGGCACTCCCAGACCTAAATAATTTGATTAATATTTTCCTTTTTTCTCCAATTAAACAAGTTCACAAGTTCCCGAGTATTTACCGAAGAGCCTACGTTACAAGATTGTATGGCATGTCAGTGTAATAATCGTATTGCATTGATTGGCATAGGTGTATGTATGTTACTGTAAACCCAGAGATCGTTGGTTGGATCCCATTGGAATTAAATGCAATTTGTTTGTTTTGTTTTGCTTTTTCACAAGCACTTATCCACAAAATTATGCCGGACGAATACTCAAAATAGACAATGTTGAAAAAAGAATTTATTAATTCGTATATTCATTTAGTTGTTTATAGTTTATATTATTATAGAAAATTAATGAAAATCCAATTCCGTTTTGTTTATATGCATAAATGTCTGGAATGATTCAACCAAGTGGACATAAGTTAATTACAAACATCACGCATCTAAGAAATATAACAAGTTCCTAGTCCACAAATCCAAGCGCTTTGTATCCATTCGCAAAAAGCGCTATATAAATTTCTATAATTAAATTTAGATTTTAGATTTAATAGATAGGCCTACATTTCCTAAGTTCATATTATATTTTTGTGGCAGTATTTCGTTGACCTCTCACTCATTATCAGACTAGGAGTTCACTGGAGTAATTATTTGTGGGAAAAAGGAATCCTGAATTTTTAAGGATTGTTGAACTCATAGCGATATTTTATATTTTTATTGTAATAATAATAGTCATAATAAAAACAATAACAATGCTAATAATGTATATGTGTAATTTACACCTTGGCACTTTGAGTCTTCGGCGATATGGATTAGGTAATAAAACACTTTTGTGTTAAATTCTATTGTTTGATTTGTCATGTGAAACTCTCAGAATGTTCTGTTGGCCTACTTTCATATAATGCCTATAATAATCAAGAAATGTAGGACTATGTCAACATTTTTTGATATTTTTCTTCGTATGTATTTTGGTGTGTCCTTTTAAGGACCATTTTTAATTAACATTCTGGCCAAGCTTGTCGAATTTGTTGTTTGTGCTAATAAGAGAAACCGAGATCAAGATAAATATTTATTATCGTTAATTCTGGTGGTGATTTCCAACTTATTTTCTTGATTATTCTATATCTAAATTTTAAATACTGGTAATCAATTTTATTTTGTTAACATCTTTTTTTTTCTCCTTCAGTTAACTGATAAAATCCCCAAATAAATGCATGGATTCGTTACAAATGAAAAAAAAAAATGAAACGCATACGGAATAAACACAATTGTGCATTGGTCGTATGACTTCCTTATATCCGACTTGTTCTTTGATGTCTTTTGTTGCTTTGGGATAATCGAGAAATTTTTTGGGGAAAATTATTGACAAATCAGGGAATTATAAGTTTAAACATCCAAATGCTTTGCTACAGTAGTGTTACTAATTTTAATCCTTAGGGCTTATTGCGAGCCAGTGTATGTATTAGTGAAATTCTACTAAAATAGATAAACCTTTGGAACCACACATCATATCATTAAACAGTCATCCCTACTGCAAATAATGTTCACAGTTTGTATACATTGTGTTTGCGCTAATCATAATCCTTAACGCATTACAGTGTCAAATCGGCTAAAAGGCTACCGTTATTATAAAATGCTTAATAGCGCCATCGTATTTTTTGCGTTGGTTCTCTGTTGGCGTGATCGATTTCCTGTTAAAATAGCCTGCAGTAGAGCGTGAAACGGTGAATACAACTGGTTTGCCCTCTCAGTGTCTATGCGAAGTATCTACAGTAAACTGTCTTCAGCGGTGAAGATATGGAGAACAATATGGAAGAGAATGTGTTTGCCGCCGAGAAACTACTAAACCGGCGTCTTAAAAAGGTAAGCACCGGCTCATCTTCACTAATACTGAATTCACTCTGTAGTTACACAACCATACCGAGTGTATATTAATGTTCCGTCTGTCACTGATATTCTGTTAGTATACGTAGGCCTATAGGCCTACATGATGAATATGCGAGTACAATTCTAAAAGTATCGGACTGTATGTTATTATTATATTAGTAAGCTTTTATATTTTTCGTTAACTCAACTCCCAACTAAATGACATTTTTTCGTTTCTTTACAGGGAAGAGTTGAGTACCTGGTGAAGTGGAAGGGTTGGTCAGAAAGGTTGGTAGTCAACATAAACGATTTATTATCTGTGATTGTTTGAACCGGGACGATAAATTTATCAGTAATAATAATACAACAATAGGCTCATTAATTTCATATTTGCTGGCAACCTTGTAAATCTCCCGAATTGCTTACCGTATAGGCCTATTTCTAAGTATCTTGCAGTCAGGCTCCGGAAGAAAACAGTTTTTTGATATGTTGTAGAACTGATTTTTCTAAGACAGAAAAAAGTTGTTTGACGAAAAACTGGACAACGGTGAATGAGATACAGATCTTTGAATCTGTCTCTTATACACATCTAGATGTGTATAAGAGATAGATTTTTCAGTGGGATTGAGCACTGTTTCACAAACTATATAATTATTATATGTTTATATATATATATATATATATATATATATATACATAATATTAATAAGTAAAAAATATATAGGCCTATTTATATTGATATGTAATATAATCGATATAGGCCTATTTATATTGATATATAATATAATCGACATAGGCCTATAATATATAAATATTTGATAATTTAATATTTTACATAATAAAACTATTTATCAATAGACATTTGGTTTGATAATGAAACAAAACATTTGGTTCGTTTGGTTTTTGATTGCGAAAAAATAACATTGTTTTTACACACAGGAAACAGAACCATTTGAACTGGCTGGTTTTGCTAAGGCCCATAATGTAACGCATTATCATGTTTACTTGTTTACATTAGGTTGACACATGTATGAATTTATTACTTTTATCTCGTTTTACCGAATACAAACCAACTTATAATTATTGGTAGTGGTGGATATAGAGATTCAAATTAGAGGGGGCCTAGGGAGGGTAGGGACTTGCCCAGATGTAGTGTCTGTACTGCCTCAGTCCATCATGGTTGGATGGAGCTGGGGTTCGAAATATTGTATGGCTATGGCACTCTCAGACTTAAATTTGAATATGATTTTCTATCGTAACTTAAATAATTAGAGGGGGAGGGGAGTGTCCGGACCGACTGGCCTCTTCATCCCCTATGATTGGATTAGGCCTAAGTAACTCTGAGCACCAAACAATTTCTTCGATCGTTGTACACCATCTGTTTGTATCGAAAAGTTCATAACTGTAAGCCTACCGTAACTCCTTAATTGATTACCGGTGTTTGTACAAAGTTCTCTCATAATTACATTGTGAATTATTACGTAACGTTGTACAATACTGGTCAATTATACTGTAGGCCTATATCGTTCTTTTTAAGTTATGCCAAAGTAGTGATTATTAATTTATAGAGGCGAAAATTTAACTAGTTTAATTTGAAGATTTTAGTCTAATTTATCTCGGTGTCTGTGTGTGATGGTGTGATGGTTAATTGTACATAATCATTAATCAATGTTTCTACAATCAATAATGGCAATTAATGATTGGTTAATTAAATCTCTTATTTATAATATACATTTCCCGGCCAAAACCAGTAGGCCTAAATATTTTTACATTCGCCAATTCTCCAAAAAGATCAACGGCATTACTCCTTTTTTAATGTGTCATTTTTAACAATACGAAGAAAATGAATGGTCATGACAAAGCAAAAAACGTGGTGCAGACGATCTAATCCAGACAAACACGCCCATTGTTTTACTGTGAACGTCGTTATTGCCAAACTGTGTTTAGAATATCGTCCGACAATGATTGTTAAACTGCACGTATCTGCCAGAAAATATCATTATCGAACGTGTCCAAGAAGACTTGTTAAAAGCGCGGTAAATTACGAGCGATCTAACCTACTTTGTAATAAAAGAACCGAACCGCGAATCGGATCGGGGATAAGAGTAGCCTAACAAAGCCTACAGTAATAATAGTCAATACCACCCTCCGACCTTAAACGAATTGTCAATTTCAATCTCAGGTACCCGGGAATCTGTCGTTTATTGCTTACCGTATAGGCCTATTTCTAAGTATCTTGCAGTCAGGCTCCGGAAGAAAACAGTTTTTTGATATGTTGTAGAACTGATTTTTCTAAGACAGAAAAAAGTTGTTTGACGAAAAACTGGACAACGGTGAATGAGATACAGATCTTTGAATATTTAAAAACTGCGAGAAAAGGGGCGTAACCGCCCATTTTTACACCTTTTTCCCCCAGTTGTTGAATATTCAAAATTATGTATCTAATTCACCTTTCCCCAGTTTTTCGTCAACAACATTTTCTGTCTTAGAAAAATCGGTTCTACAACATATCAAATTGTTTTTCCCTCCAGAGTCTGACTTAAAAACGTTGCAAAAGGATTACTGATACCTGGATTTGATGCCCGTGTCACATTGATTGACCTCCAGTTAATTCGGCCCTCAACCTATACGCAGTAAATTGGGCTCCCCTGCTCGGCCGCCGCGGTCTAGGGATTACGGTACCCATTATCTTTTTTTATTAAGGGTTATATAGGGCCGCAGCATCCCTTGACAGTCATGTACTCTGATCATCATCATCATCAACATCATCATCATCATCATTATCACCGTCACACCACCATCACCATCTTCATCATCATCATCATCATCATCATCATCATCATCAGCACTCATTACCATCATCATTGTCATTGTAGCATTATCATTAGGTCTATGTATCCCTTCATTGCATGTTTTGGTTTCCATACTCTATTAGTATGACATTGACTAAGTATATATTATATGCCTAACATTGTTTTGCATCAACATCTGAGCGCGTAAGTTAACCGCCGGAAGGAGTTTTGAAATGTAGGCCTATCATTAGGCCTATTACTAAATAGAAAGAACAGCTATTTCCGGCTGGTAACACCTATCCAGTAGCCTTTTCTATACGCGTTGAATTATCCAATGACGTAGTTTCATGTTAATCGTTTTCCATGATTAAAGCGAATATTATTACACCCGCGCGTACAGTACTGTAGTTTAAAACCTTGGTTCACACTACAAATCAATTTACACAATTTGACGCAATCGCTATAAATGCTACGCCTACGCCACTCACCACTTCAATTTTTAGTGCAAACCACGCGAAATTAGACGCGTATTGAAAAGCAACTTTATACAAAACTTAACTGGATATTAAAAATATGCTGTCTGTCTTGAGCCAAAAAAAAAATTGAAGTAATTAACCAGGGCTTACCGCCATGTCATTATGTTCTAGGTAATTTAAAAACTTATTTTCGTGCTGGCAGACCACAGAGTTACTAGGCCTAAGTCAATTGCAGTTAAACTTAGGCCTAAGAAAAAGACATCTCTGCTTTAATAGTTATGATGATCTCATCTATCTTTGATACTGATAAGATGCCATGGGTAAATCTATTTTAATTATATGTATGTCCTCCAGATAAATGCAACGTAAGTAATCACAAGACTTTAAAAGAAATTGTATAAACTATACCATTTCTAAAATGAAGTTTTTATTATATTAACTTACAATTAAAAAAAGTTGAATGACAATAAAATTCCCCCGTGAATTAACGGACAGTTAAATACCTTTCCTGTATTGTTTTGCATACACCTTTAAATTGGACCTAATCAATTTAAGGATTATTTTTGTAGTATATATGTCTGTGAATCAGCGAAAGCTATTTATCTGTTTCTGGTTGGAGGTTAGAGATTTGATACTTAGGCCAAATAAAAAAAACTACTAGTTTCTCGTCCCCTTGCGCATCCAATTTCTCTGCCTCGCCATTTTTTGAATAATTTTTTTACTTCTTTTATTTCCGTCATTTTACAAAATGTACGAAAATCTGGCAAACTCACATCAGAAATTCCTATCATGGATCGTTCGGGTTGGGGATACATTATGAATCATGTCTGGTGCTTCTTTTATTTGCTTTCAATGTGTCTACTTAGTAAAAGTGAGAAAGTACTGTAGGCCTACTAGCTGTTTCCCATCGACAATCTTGGATTTGCCATCTCGAAGTAAAACAAAAAGTGCCCCCATTCTCTTTTTCCAAAATATTAGGACGAGAAACTTCTTTTTTTTTACTCTTGGCTGTAAATGAGCTATTCAAATTTTGAAATAAATATTTTGAGAGTTTCCCGGTGTACATCCTTAAAAAGTCAAAAACGCGAAAAAACATGTGAAAGCAAACAAGATATACGATGTCAGATCGTAAAAAGCCGCTTTAATGAAGCCTTCGGATTATGCATATCCTGTAAAAGGTAACTAGATTTGTCTTGAATCACATGATCGTAAATATCCGTTTTCGACGATATAGTAATTATCGACATCTGGTTACAGCTAGTAGTCCGGTTCATTATACTCTGATTAATGTTGTCTGAATGTAAATATTTTTAAATAATTATATTCAATTTCAATTTTTGTTCATTCATAAAATCCTTTAAGTGGATTTATTGCTCACGTTGTCTCGCATCTGTCACATAATCATTAGCGTAGTTCATACGTCATTTCCGTTTGGATTTCTGTGTTTACATACTAATTTACACCCTCTTCATATTCCCCTTCCCCTCCTTATCCTTCATCAACTCGTCTAATTGGTTTGTAGGTTATTTAGGTCTCGAGAATTAGAAATATTTCATTTATGTCCTTATTATTGAGTAGGCTATTGTTTCTGTACGTATAATCTCCACTGACGTCAGAAATTTCACACAACAATATTTCATCTTCTTCGTTGTCCTCATCCAATTCGCAACATTTAATCTTCAATAAAATAGTATTCTTTTTTCCTTTCTAATTTTTTTTTCTTCAACCTCCACACAGCTGTTAGGCCATCTTGTACTACATTACATAACGCTTTACAATCTAAGTTATCAATCATTTGTGCTGCTTGAATTATTGCTTTAGGCCTACGTCTCATTCATTTCTCCAATCTCTATATTGATGTAGTGTATTACTGAAACGTTTTTAGATTAATAAAAACACTTTCTGTATTGTGCTAAGTTTCGCTTCGGGTTTTATGTTTACGACAGCTACAATGATCCTTAGTCCCCAACCGTTAAACTGAACCATCAAATAATGTGTAATGGGCTCCCTTTGGCAATAG